ATTCAATTTTATTTGAATAATCATCATTCGATAAAATTTATCAATTATATATCATTCGATAATATAATTATAAATTACTTGCATGATTTTGATTTTTGCATTATTAGTTTGTAGGTTTTTTGTTTTCTTTTATTAAGCAGATCACACTCAGTATCAAGAACAGGTATCGAGAGCAGGTCACAGAAACGCTATTTGAACTTAAATTTAATAAGTTTGGAGAAATAATCATATGCTCTTTTATCAATTCATGTAGTAATTTCTGCTGCTTGTTTAATAACTGTTGCCTTGTTGTTAATGTCTGCTCTAATAAAATACGAGGTAGAAGAATATTTGACAATATTATTAAATAAATATTATTGCAATAATTCACATAATTTGCGGTCTCTTAGGACTCAGCAGTAAAGAGGATAGATATCTGATAATTATAATAAAACTCAATTAATTGAATTGATAAAACCTGTCAAATTTTTTGTATTGTAAGTTATATCTATCAATTAAAATAAAAAAAAATCTGCTCACATGATTAGTAAACTCAACTTTTAGCACTCATATATATACTAATCATAAATTTTATTTCTTCTCATGCATTCATATATATATTAATAGTAAATTGTCACCTGTTAAATAGCTTTTAGGTCGAGTGTATCTGAATTTTCAACTATATAAATAATTAACTCTAGTAACTCAAAATTTCAAAACAAAATTATAACAAAATTATTAATGCATGATACCATATATATAAGTATCAAGTAGAAAAAATGAACACAATATATCAGCTAATATATACAGTAGAAAGTAATTTTTTAATTAAAATTATAACTTCAATCGTATCAAAAAGCTCTTTATCTAACTTTTGAATACGCTCATAATTACTAAACAATAGTTCAATAAATGAATTATAAAAGCTGCCTAAATTTTCACCAAATTTAATCATTGGACTAATGTTAGTGATATCAACAACATCAGATGAAAACTTCGTGATAGACTCAGGATACCAAACACGGTTCGAATTTGATGTGAATTGGATAGGCTGAATATTCTGAGCCACTATCTGAGACTTTTTATATTCTTTTGCGTTTTTTTTAGCTTAACCAGCTAACAGTTTACATATGTTTTTAATATTTTCTGATTCATTTTTCTACAACTTGCTTGCTAGTTTTGAGACAATAGAGCAAAAATAAGTGAGATTATTGGATTTAAGATAATGGTGAGTGGCTGTCCTATAGACCATAAACCCATTCGAGAGTTTTTTAAATTTACTACTGTATGAAGTGGCTATAGTAATTATGAATACATGATTGACCGTGTAAGATTTCTTAATACTTTGGTATTTAGGCATAATTGCAGTTATTTTGTCACAAAGAGTTTTGATCTAGTAAAAAATATTTGAAAATTCTTTTTTGTCCACTGAGAACATAAATTTTAAATTTTAGGTTCTCAAATATATTTTTAATATTCTCAAAGATTCTTAGATCATTTTTATAATACAATCTATAAATTTTATGTTTCAAATTGTAACTTTTTAATTAATTTTAATTTCTCAAAATGTTCTTGAGATCATTGAGAACATTGGATATTAAACATTGGCTTCAATCGTGTAATGCTAATAACCTGATAAAATCTCATATATTATTCATAGAAGCATTTATTAGTAAATCTATAATAATTTCGAAATTCATAGATTGCTATCGTTATATCGAAATTTATAGATCTTCAAGTTACATTAGAAGGGCCTATTTTGCGAACCCATTTTATGATCCATATTGTTAAAATATATTGACTCTACGTTGTATGTATAAATATATACTTTTTGATAGCTATTGTATAGTATATACGAATATAAAAAAAAATTATACGTAGTATGTATTGTACCTACTAAATACTGCATAATACCCAATTATCAGCAAGATATTATATATGGGTTCTTTCATAGCAAATACCGTAATTAAGATTTTTATTGGGCTATATTACTAAGTGCGTACTTTATCTGTAGCAAAAACATTAGCATATTACAATTTTATGCAGTTTAAAAATTGGAATATATAAAACTAGGAATGTGATACTGCTTATCTGAACTCTGTCATGAGTTTTTTATTACGTTAATTAAATATGTAAAATGAAACTCAGTGTGCTCGAATCGAGTTTGAAATCGATGCTACGGTAAAAAGGAGTTATTGAATAATCTTGCTAGAAGTTTTAATATCTTAACAAATTATTGTAGCGGCTTATGCTGAAATTTGGGGTCTCAATTTAAATCTATAATATCTACTAAAATCCATATATACTTTTTATTAATAAAACTACCTTTCTACCCTAACCTAACTATGAAAAAGGCCCTAAAAATTTTTACAATTTCATAATAAAATATGAAAAAATTTCAGCATAAGCCAATTTCAGCATAAGCTGCTGCAATTATTAATATTTTATTGTGGTGGAAACAAATCAAAAACTAAGATATTGTACAGTGAAGATCAGTATGTTATAAAAATTTTCTTATAACCACATTTTGTTAGAGAAAAAAATAAAATCAGTTTGTTATATTAATGGCAGATAGGAGCATAATTACTCAATCGCATAATGCAAAAAAAATGATTGGTTAAAAAAAATTATGGTTGGTTAATACGTATGTTCTAACTCCTGCTCTAGTAAAGCAAATTCAATTCTGTAACTTGCAAATGATATATGAATAATGTAATTTTAAAACTATGTTGAGGCGTTTTTTAATTAATGTCGCGGCTGAAGCTGGAAATTTTTAAATGTCCAAAATCCTGCAGTGAATAAATATGCTCGGTCTAAAATATTTTTTTGCTAAAAACCAAATAAAATATTTTTAGATCGAGCAGCCGCAGAATTCTAGACAATATATACATTTGTCTTGATATCAAATCATTAATAATCATTTTCTATTAAATAATTTAAAATATAGAATTATCGACTGAAATTGTATCTAAATTAAACTTTTAATTACAATACAATTTTAAAATGGTTAATTTATATATACTGCTTAATAAACACAAAACAGACTGTTGATCTAAAATTTTAACAATTGAAGTTATTTTGTCTTTCTTTTAAGCTTATATTAGTTATATTGTCTTTCTTTTAAGTTTACTTTACTCATATTAATAAGCATAGTTTTTATCTGCTAAAAATCTATAGATCACATTCTAGTTCTCCATCTGAACAAGAACACGAGTCATATCTCTAAGCAATAAATTGATCTTAATAATGAACCTCATGAAGTAAAAGAATTAGTAAATAAGCTTATTCTTGAATTTAGTGATGTCCGAACTACAAAACAGTTAGTCATTTAATTCTGAGTATGGTATTAGCAGATGCTCTTTGCAAAAACAGTACTTTAACCTCTTTGAATATTTAATAATCAAATTGATTTTAAGAATATAGAGTTATTAACGAGTTCTCTTTCCAAAAATCACAAAAACATATCAGAGTTAAAATTAAACAATTTGATATTGATAATTCTTCTTCCAGATGTTCTCAGGATGATAAGCCATCTTTTCACAAAAATGCTTCAGATTCTTTAAATAATCTAGATGACTTTAAAAAAATAAAATTAGCAGACACTACTTTGGAGGATCAAAATATATTAATTTTTTTGGATAAAAATATTTCAGATCTTTCAAATAGTCTAGTAAGAGATAAAATTAAAAATACAAAATCAGAAAATGCTAGTGCAGTAAAAGTGTTAAGTGACACTATTAACGATTTATTTTTGTCATTTTTTATTGTTTATTTTTAATAATTACTGATTATATTGTAAAATTCAAAATTGGTCAGACTACTTAATATCCC